ATTTGCAGATGACACAACGTTATCAGCTAGTACACAGTGGACAAATATCCCTTCCATGGTTCAAGATTTGAAAAAAGACCTCGATAGTATATGTAATTGGTCCATTAACAACAAAATGGTCATCAATACGGAAAAGACCAAATCTGGAACGTGGTTATGAATCAGCCTAGTCCCAGTCGTTCTGAAGCAAGCGCGAGAAAAAAACGTGCATGTAGTGCGAGACTAGGACCTAGGTGTGACGTCACCGCTAAAGGTGCTTCAGAACGCCTAGCAGATTTCAGTATTTTTAATACGGCGAAAATTTATATAATTTTACAAATAACCTTGTAAATACGACAATGTTCGTTGATCATGTTCGATGTCTACATAACCAAATTCATACTGTATTAAAAATGTGCTCAACTAAAAAAAATATATGTACAAATTTACGATACTGAGTCTGAGCAATGGTCGTATATTCGTTGATGTTATTTATATACTCGCAAGTTGTGATCAACACTGGACCTTACTGGTATACAAAACTACGCTTTCTACTTGACAGGTTTAATATAAGTAGCTGAGGAGATTGGAAATATTTGCCTGACATGACTGTGTTGTCAAAACATTTTTAGTCGGAGACTCGGCATAATTTTCAAGCTTCTAGATAGCATTTAATATGGCTTATATTTTAGTAAACACGAGTCATATTTAGCCCCGTTATACCATTCTGACCGTATGGTAGCGAAACGTAGCCTATTTCATTGTTCCGACAACATTAGAGAAAAACTAATCACTTAATTATAAACGCAAAAGAAATTTCCATAACATTTTCTCTTTACAAACGCGGTATGCTTGGTAACCAGGCCAGGGACCACTTTTTTGAAATCAGGGACCATTTTACCGAAATCTGCTAGGCTCTCTCGCTGAAGCGTTCCGCACAGGACACCCAGGCATAAAACTTTTAAGACTTATTTAAATATACCAAAGCAGCGAATAGAGAGAGAGCCTTGGTCTAGGCTGGTTATGAATGAAGCTAGCTTAGATTTGAATTCCCAATATTAATTGTTAAGAGGCAATTTTTTTCAATGTCACGTATTTGCAATGAAAAATGTTCAAAACCTAAAATCTTTTTGGCGTTCCTCTCAAAATTACTTTGTTTTAGCTTTATTCTCTAGTTTATAGAGTTAGCTACCTTATCAAATGCATCTGCCGGTTGATAAAATAATGGCATACTTCGAAACCCGGACCGGACTCGGACTCGGACCCGGACTCGGACTCGAAGAAAATTCGGACTCGAGAAAAACCCGGACCCGGACTCGAAGAAAATCCGGACTCGTGTTTAACAAATCCCGGACTTGACTTTTGAAAACCCGGACTCGAAATAGACAAAACCGGATTCAAAACAAGGACTCTGTGTACGAGAATGCAAAGGTTTTATCGGTAATAACTCGCGGATACTGAATGGATTTGTGCTCTTGCGCGAGTGCCCCTTTCTCTTCTCGCTTTTGTATATAATAAAATACTTTATTTCAAAAGCAATAAGCTTTGGTTTCGAAAGATATAGATATTTTTTTCTTCTAGTGACTCAGTGTTATGCGTTATCTGAGGATACTAATCAGTTATCATACTATATGGTTCCTCACAAAATAATCACTATATAGCTTACCTAAACAAATCATTTAGCCTTATAGGCCTACATCCTTGCTTACTTACTTAATTTAAAAATTTATTTAACCACGCTGACCATACACAACATATTTGTAAAATACATACTCCTGCGAGTAGCTAAATCTACCCTAGACATAAATTAATAACTGAAATCTGACTCAGCAGCTAGGAATGTCTTGTCTGTAAACCATCTCGTTACACGATTGCTGCCACCATAGCAGACTCAACGTGATCGATGGCGGCAAGGGTAAAATATATCCTCAACATATTCGACCTCACTATCGGCAAAGAGACACGAAAAATAACTAGACTTCAACCAATCAAAAGTAACTTCAACCAATCGAAAAGAACGCCGGAAAAGCACATCCCATGTCGGAAGGTAATGAAGGTGTCGCGGCAACCGCGTCTAAATACCGACTGTGAAGTAATTCGAGCGTTGTGCGGATGGACATAAATTTGACATTATAACATGCTCTCAAATAGTTGGACAAGACGCCACTGGAAACACGTTTATTTTCTCAATTTCGTTAAGATAAAGTCCATAAACACGAATTGAACACCCGCAATTATTCTCTATCCGAAAGTAGTAGAAAACACATCACAATTAACTTATTGAAGCAACAGCCGCACCCGCGGCCGACAGTGAAATTCGCGTTGGGTGGATTGGCATAAATTTGATATTGAGTCTTGAGACTCTCTCGTTAGGCAATGCGTTCATCAATTGCCCCATAATGGTCCATATGCCTTGCATACAACCTTGGCTCGATACTGACAATGAAGTTTGACAATAAATATTTTGAGAATCAACAATCAACATGCTACCCTCGTACTAGCTACTTGTAGATCGTTGTGCATCAATACATTTTAGTATTTAATAACTTATAAGTGCCCAAATGATTTGGTTCCAGTATATCTAAGTGATTATTTCGTTAACAGCAGAAGATTAAAAATATCGAGATAAAGATATAAAGAGATCATCGTTTATCATGTTACTAATTATTAAACCTTTCCAAAAAACCTTTGCATTTTCGTAACAGAGTCCTTGATTTGAATCCGGTTTTGCCTTATTTCGAGTCCGGGTTTTGTTAAACACGAGTCCGGATTTTGTTCGAGTCCGGGTTCGAGTCCGGTCCGGGTTTCGAAGTATGCCTAAAATAATAGTTAAAAATTGTCAATTAAAATATAATTATCAATGATGCTTTAAAATTGACGCCATATTAGCCATATAAGCAAAACTTACTGAACTTCAGACATCATTTTCTCTTTGGCGCATCATCTAAAATCTCTTCATTTTAGCATTATTTTACAGATAAAGCACTAAACATAGTTTTTAAGTTTGTTTGCCAATTGAGAAACGTATTGCAAAATAAAAAAAATTTGAATTTAGTCATAATCTATATACTCATTAGTTTTGAGCGCGTGTTACATAACATACAGAAAAATCTCCTCTTAACTAATTCATACTAGCTGTGTTGGCGATTTACACGCATTTACCATGTATCGACCGTCGTCGTGGATGATCGCATTATTCAAATACTGTATATGTCTGAACAAAGCTACAAAACAGAAATTCGGCAAGCGATACCAGATTCCCTGTTCCCACAGTAAAATTTGTTATTAAAAAATAAACAAGTGGTAGTCTTACAAGTTTTAATTAGAACTCGAGTGGAAAAAATTGTCCGAAAACTGCTTAGTTGGATGGTCAAGGTATTTTTTATAGTAATGTTATATATAAAGTAAATATATAAAATAAAATACCTTTTTTCCTTTTGCAAATCGACGAAAATAATGCAGCGCAATTATCATCATTCCACTGTTTGTTATATGCGTAAAGTTCGGCACATTTTTCATTATTCTTGTAGTTATTTGGTTCACCCGGCAGCCACTGTTGAGGATTTGTAAAAGTATTGCCATCACTCCAGGTCCAGCCTTCTTTTGGATCACTGATCGTCTTGTTGCGGAATAGCCCAATCCAGAACCTATATTTTCCTAGGGCTTTTGTTTGCTTGTTAATAAAATTAACTTCCGCGGAATTAAGGATAGAAACCAAGTCAGCTCCATGTCCTAAGCAGTTAGCTCTGGAGTCTTCCCAGCTCATTTTACGGATTCGTGAAGTTGGTATGACAATAAGATAGCATGAATTGCCATATTCTTTCCAGTTTTTTGGACAGCCTTGACTTGCTTTGATTTGTTTCAAAGAAATGTAGGAATTGCATTTTTAGTTAAAAAAGATTAATCGTTATCGTTATGGCAATTTGGCAACGTTTGACACAGACATATGCATCTTCAGCACACATATAATAATATAGAGTTTGAGTAAGACAACAAAGGACGTACTTGACAGTTGACAATGTTGCATATTATCTTGCGCATACTGAGTTTGGGATCACTGGTTCATGTTTCGCTGTTTATGGGTACATGGCGAAGCCAGCAGTCATGCATGTCATGCTGGGCATCACCAAAAAGTTTCCCCCAAAATATTAAAATACGAATTATACTTCTTGTCTTGCAAAAAATATGCCTTATAGTTGCGCCGAGTTTACGACACATCGCTTTTGATTATATTACGCATTTGATCTAATTTAATATGTTTTCAAATCAATAAAGAAGTACCTGTTTATCTTTATAAAATCATAAGGGGGGGGGGGGGGTCGATATGGAATTTGAGCGTCGTAAATAGATGTGTGGTGGGCTTGGAGGCGATCTCAAGAAAAGTGCAATGTTGAAGGTTTCACCCGCCCCCTCCTCCTCCAATATTAATAACCGGTCCCTGACTATAATGCATACATGTATGTAAAGATAATACTTACGACATAATCGAACATTGAAGACAATGGTACATATTACTTTCATGCCTCCATACAGTTCGAAGGTATACTTGATTTCATGTCGACCAATAGGGAAATTGTGTGGCGACTTTATGTTTGGTTCAACCTTTTGACGATTATTAAGCAGATATTTATGCAGGCAAGTGAAGTTAGGCTTGCTCCACGACAATTGGATTGGTTTCCTATCGAACACAATGCGACTAACCTCTCGCTCTGTATAATAATGACATGCGCATCTGCTTTCTAATGAAAGGAAATTGAAGAATTTTAAGATGAGCGTGGCGAAGGCCATGTGGTTGGGGGCCCGGGGGGATGGTGGCGGGGAGGGGGGTTTAGGCAAAAGGTTTTATCGTTAAAAATTCTTGAAGTTATGTGCTCTTTTAGAGATTGATTTCCATATAGCTCTATTCAAAGCTCATATAGCTTATTATTATATAGTAGACAGTTAAATACTGAAAAATTCATATCTTGTCGCTGTTTAATATCCTCTCTATATATAATTTATTTCTACGTCAAAGAACTTACCCACAATGGGACACCACTTAATATAGTCTTCATATCGTTGTTCAAGATAGCCAGCTGTCGCCTTACAACACGATGACGCTCTCACACTATCTTCATTTAAACATTCACTTTCCCATTTCTTCCTGTCGTTCACGAATTCAGACCATCCACTTCTACAAAATTCAGTCTCGTTCTCTTCCGCTCCGAAAACGAGATTTGTGGCAAAGTAAAACATCATAGCTGTCGCCCAAACGTTTTTACAGTTGCCGAATATGATTGGTTTGTGTTTGTTCCGTTTAACCCTCATCCTATGAACAGATTATAAAATAGACCATGTTAGTGGGTGATTCCAGCTATAGACTAAATTTTGATCAGGGCAGGAAGAACGAAATCCAACACCACAGCTAGAAAGCGCGTCTAAGAATGAGTAAAACTGCAAAGATTGGTTGCTAACTGCTGCAAAATGTAGAAAATATAGCCCTGTGAAGTTCGCAAATTTTGTATATATTTGTATTTAATACACGCGATAAAAATAACCACTTTCGGCTCAATTGCAAAAATGGTTATTCGGAACCAAACTTTGTAATTTTACTCATTTTAAGATGCTTCTCCCAACTATGGTAAAGAATTTCGTTCTTCTTGTCTAGATCAAAATTTCCTCTACAGCTGGAATCATCCATTGGCGGGTGGCAACAATGGCTAGAGCATGTGCTTTTTCACCTCTGGGATGCGAATTCGTTCACTTGCAGTTACAGGAACAACAAAGCGATTCAGTGATTGAGGTGGGTGGTGGGAGTAAAGGGTGATGTTGACTGTTAGAGTCGGAACTACTGGGGGATGTGGGAGTGTATCTATCCCCCAAAGAAAAGTAAAAAAGGGGGGCCAACTTGCCCAGAGGGGCCCCCGGAATGCTGAACGTGTTAAATTTGAGGTCGAAAAAGGTCTGAAAAAGTAATTTTAAACCCCTATTATCTCAAAATAGTGTTAGGAAAAATTTTGAGGACTTTTTTTTTCGGAAAAAACGTCGACCTAAACGTTAGTCTGGTCTTAAATAATGAATTTGGAACATCAGTTCTACTCAATTCTTGTGCCTGAATGTCATTGTGGATTGGTGCGTCATACAGTGCATTGCATTCAAAATATGGAAGGATAAGCGTTCACTTTCCATGGATTATATGCTGATAATTTCTCTTCATTCGCACGGTATGTGAGAATAAACAGGCAGAGCGCTTCTATTTTATTGCAAGGAACACCGTAGGCTTTCTCTGGGGAGAAACACTTTTCAATAAGGGTTGCCGATTAATGGGCTCCTAGGGCGAATGCGAGTTACTGAGTTGGAACGTATATCGGAAAACTGCGTACGTACTAGTTTAAATGATTGATGGCCCTGATATATGCACTTGTCAGTTGCCACAGTGCCACCAATATTAATTAAACTATACTAGATATGAACATTTTAATGGAATTACTATACACTTTTTTACCTGTTATTCAGCTCAAAGACATTTAAAGCTCAGTTTCCTGCGGTGAACAACGAAAACAAGTATTGCTTTGTTGTGTAGAGATGCCAATACGTGCCTGCCTGATATAGACTGTAGTACCAACCAGATGTTTCAAGCTTTCCTCCCGATATTTTTAAGCTTCTTTCTAAACTAATATTATAAGCTGCCGCGGTGAAAAAGATGTAAAATATTTCGATGTTTAAGTAGAAAACACTTCTTGTTCAAACGCAAATCATGATAACTTATTATAGAATACTACCCTCATTGGACCACCACGTTTGAGATCTCTTTTTCAGGTAGTTCAGACTCAAACCACGGCAGCTTATTGTAGAATACTACCGCTACACTGGTCCACCACGTTTGAGATATCTTTTTCAGGTATATAGTTCATACACGAACCATGGCAGCTTATTGTAGAATACTACCTACACTGGACTACCACGTTTGAGATATCTTTTTGGGTTGAGACTCAAAGCAAAGTAACTGGCATGCGATACGTTTTACAAGGGCTAATGGGTAAAATAATCGCTTTGGGAGCATCGTTTGGGAGTTATAGCTTATCAGAGTAATGGGTGATTCCAGCTATAGACTAAATTTTGATATATCTAGGCAATTAAGAAGAACGAAATCCAACACCACAGCTAGAAAGAGCATCTTAGAATGAGTAAAACTTAAAATGTGAAGTTCGCGAATTTTGTATAATTATATTTGTAATTACGCGCGGTAAAAATAACCACTTTCGGCTCAAAACTGGTTATTTTTCCCGCGCTTAATTAATGCAAATACATATGGATCCGAAATTTCGTTTTTTTGCTGGAATCATCTATTTGGCAAAGATGGATCTTATAGTGATAGAGATTGCTACAGATTATGGTTTATCTTTGAATAAGACTTTTTTCGCGTGTAAAACTCGATATTACGACACAATGCAAATATGCAAATATCGCTTGTAAGATGAACAACATCTGTTTAACCGTGGGGTATTGAATATCTATAATGACGCTGTTTATATGTCGACGTCCATATTTGTCAATTGCGTGTTTGTTCGTCACGTCTTTCAAAAAGTACTTAAATGGATCTAAATAGCCCAAGATGGTGGAAAGTATAAGTATGAGTTGGACTTGTATACAATAATATGATCTTTCGGAATCTCGAACTTATGTATATTTCTTTGTAGTAGTACGACTGCGCCTCGGGGAAGGCAATCCTTCGTTCACGACCGATTACTAATTCCTGGACTAAATATGTTATACTTGCGTCTCAGACATAACCATATTTTGAGAAAATACAAGTGTGATACGTCCCCCCCCCCCAGTTTGTTGGGCAGTCGGGCAATATTCGCTGAACAGTCGGGCAATTTTGGTTTATTATAAAAATAAATGGGACAAATTTTGTAAATTTTGTTGTCAATTTTTTGATGTTTCGAAAATTTTTGTTAGGTTCCGACAAATTTTGGTATGTCCGGAAAAATTTTTTAACCCCCAAAATGGTACACTGAGCGAATTTGTTTGGCAACGGGGGGAGCGGGGGGGGGGCGAGGTCGCAAAAATAATTTCCGGAAAAAAATTTTTCGGTACTTGTCGGGCAATAGCCGGAAAAGTCGGGCAAATTTCTTTCCGCCCCCCTAAATTTTTCCTTCCGGTACGCCCATGATCAAGATCTTTAACAATAATATAAAAAACATCATTGTTTTATTACTCTAAGTTTTTAGACTTTATCTAGCTTTAACCACAGTCCCATGGTTACGTTCCACCTAATTTGTTATGTTAGTCGAAAAGTTTTAATGTACAGAGTTCCTTAGATGTTCACCAGTGTGTAAGAATCTTGGTCCACAACAGTCATAACCAGCTCTGCGCTTGTGAACTGTTCCCCAACAACACACATGCGAGCTAGCAAAACTCTGTTAACCAGGGGCGCCGGAAGCAACATGAAGCGGCGGGGGCAGCCATTTAAAAATGGCACTTACTCTTGAGCATTAATTTTTTTTTGGGGGGGGGGACAATGTTCGTTAACATTTTGCTGTATAACGGATACTTCATTACTTCTAGCTAATACAGTTAGGCAAATTTCGGCATGGATTGGAACATTTTTATTCGTTGCATGACACTAAAGACTAAAGTGTATTGTAAAGCAACATGACAGTTGTCAGTTATTTAGTTATTTACTTTCTTTTTCCCTTTTTTTCATAGGTGGAAACTGATTGGTAACGTTTCTGAGAGGAATTCAGTTTCAAATATGAGCTAAATTGTTTAAAAACAGTTTTCAATTTCAATTCATGTGAAAAACGCACGACGTTCGAAGTGCAGTTCTGGTAAAAAAGGCAACCTGCTGCCCCCGTGCTGCCCCGCACTGTTTAGGCAACGGGGGCAGCTGCCCCCGCTGCCCCCGTGGCTGCGGCGCCCCTGCTGTTAATCTACGGAAAATAGAACACAATTAAAGAGTTGCAGCCAGTAAACTGGAACCATAACTCCAGCTAAACGGCTGATTGGGTGAAGCCAAGATGGCGGTCAATAGGGTGATCTCTTCATTTTCTTGTAGTTATAAAACACTCGGAGCTATAAAGACTTCCGATCGATTCAAATTTTTTTTGCCTGGTCGACATTCTGTGTGTCTTTATTCTGTGATAATACTAAGCCACACTGTCCTTACTGAACTTCTAGAGAGGTTAGAACTGACACAGTTAGCCAATACTAGTTTAAGACCCGTTTACACTTGCAATTTTTTACTGCGGATTTTCTTCCTCTGATGGATGTTAACGAGTGCATGGTGAGCTATGAATGTTAGATAAGGGTGCGTATATACACAGAACATTCACTACTCATCTACTCGTTCACATGATGCGTCAGAAGAAAAAGATCACACTAGACATTGCAGCAAAAATTGCAAGTGTAAACGGGCTGTTAGTTATAGGTTTCCTTCTGTAATAACAGTTGTACCACTGATCAATAAGGATCACTGATCCTTACTTGACCTCTCGGAAGAACGGTTTAGAACTGATAGAGCTATCTAGTGTTTATAATTGAGCCTCGGGGGGTGAGACAGAACTTAAAGTTGCAGGACAATTCGGTTTGGGAATTGTCCATGATACGAAGGCCGTGTTTGAACCACCAGCGAGTTCAGCATTAACACGAACAACTCCAGGACATCGGCAAGCTGAAATAACCATAAAGAACTTCATTTTTAGTATTTAAACACGCGGCCAACATTGTCGTTCAATAGCTTAAGATCTACGACGTCGACGTCAGCTAGGACGTCAGGACTAAGCAGAGGACTAGGACTACATTAGGAAGACATCCAAGTCCCAGTCCTCTGCATAGCCCTGACTTCCTAGCTGACGTCGACGTCGTAGATCTTAAGCTATCTAATAATAGCTGAGGTCCACAGCATCCACAGTTGTGTTTGTGCTAATCATCCTTTCTAAGGGCGCCTCTGGCAGCCACGTTATAACTCATATCTGATCACGGAGCATAGCTACGGTGGAAGAGTCATTTGGAAATGGAATAAATATGCTCGTAAATAGTTCTATATTTATTATTTATCGTTTTAATACTGACTGTATTTCCGCACTTCTGTTTATTAGGCAATTCCCATCAACGCCGGGAACCTTTTGTCCCCCCCCCACCCCCACCTTCCTAAGTATTCGGCAAATTGGCTTAGTACAAGTTTTCGCAGCCATAAAGACTTAAAACTGCATTAGGGAGTGGTCATTATTTATGGGGAGGGGAGGGAGGATGGGGAAAATAAGGATTGAAAACTTTTTTGACCCTCCCCCCCTCCAGACTGAAGGCAAACTTTTTGTGCCTCCCCCCTCATAAAAGTAGAAACTTTTCTGACCCCCCCAGCGTGGATTGAAAAATTAACAGCAATGAAACAGGTGTGCGTTGCAGGTAAAGTTAGATATTAGGACAATCTGTTTAATCTAGCTCATGATGTTTTACCCTGGTGAATATTATTCAACCATATATGATTAAAAAATATATATTATGTGTTACTACTTTGCAATGCAACATTTGTCCTACCCTAACCCTAACCCACAACCCGTCTTCATACAACGAAATGATTTGAACACAGGGTTTTTTTAAGAACTTGTCTGGGGGGGTGGGCATCTACAAAAAGGGACCTTACTATATTGAGTGTGGAGAGATGACAGATGGTTGTTGGTGACAAAAGGTTTGGTATGGTATCGTATGTACTAGTAGGAGGGTCTGGGGGTATTCTTCCCTCGAAAATGTTTTGTATTTTTCCACCCCTAGAACTGAAATGTGAGCATTTTCTGAAACAGAGTTTTGGATATAAGCGTTACATTGTGCGTTGATAGACCGAATCTGATCAGTTAAGTGTACTTGCATGGTATGTTTATGTCAATACCACAACTGGGTCACTCAGGGGGTAGAAATCTTGTTAAACTTAGTGAGCCCGACTCCCATGATCGCGAGGCGCTACCATGGTTGGCCCCGAGCAGGGAAATTTTGAAAATTTTGAGTCTCTAGATAGTTGGAAATAGCATTTTCAGAGTCTTCTTTTTTGCTATTTGTGATTATAGAAATCAGAACTCTAGACATGGTATTTAAGTTCAAAAATGTTTATGACCCCCCCCCCC